CTTTGCAGGCCGAATAATAGGACCATTTCATCACTTATTGGAAGTGATGAAACGGGCCTATTATTCGGCCTGCAGAGGCTTTTTCAATCCTCTGGGAGGCCGAAAAAGGCCTCAAACCAGCCGAAAATCAGCTGTGAGGCACGCGCATGCGCTGTGAGGTAAGTTTGCCTGCGGCTCGCGTGCCAGCACAAATGGCTCTGTGTGCCACCTGTGCCATAGGCTCGCCATCACGGGCCTACTGTATTAAAAGAAAACCAAATTTAGTCAACCCAATGGTTGCTTGTTCAAGGCCAGCCTACAAAAATGAACACCAATCTGAAAACCTAGGATTTATTCCATACAGGTAGTCCTCGACTTACGACCACAACCGAGCCCCAAATTTTTGCTGCTAAGCGAGACATTTAAGTGCATGTCGCCCCATTTTACGCCCTGTCCTGCCACAGCTGTTAAGTGAATCACTGCAGTTGTTAAATTAGAGACATGGTTGTTAAGTGAATCTGACTTCTCCACTGTCTTTGTGTGTTGGAAGGTCGCAAAAGGGGATAAAACATAAGCCCTGCACTGCAACCGTCATAAATATGAGCCAGTTGCCAAACATCTGAATTTTGATCCTGGGGATGCTGCAACAATCTTAAGTGTGAAAAGTGGTCCTAACTCACTTTTATCAGTGCCATTATAACTTTTTTTAAAAAAAAATTATTGTGCATTTTCCTTCATTTTACATCACAATTTCAATTTTGCAACAACAATATGCTGGTTGTCTCAGCACCTTTTTAAAATATACATGATGTTATACATCCTAGTCCCGATCATTTTTCTCTTTTTCATACAATATAGTCCAGGGATCGCCAACCTTTTGGATCTCAGGGACCACCAAACTCATAATTTTAAATCCCACGGACCAGAGACCCTGGGAAAATCCCCAAAAAAGTCTGCAGGAAAATTCCCATCCTGTTTTCCTACCGATCGATCATTCTTTATTTGGGATCACAGGATACTGTCTCCAGCTCCATTCTCAGGTGTGGGGGGAGAGAGAGACTTTTGGCTTCATGCAAGGAAAGCAGCAGAAGCAGCAGAAGTCTTTCTTTCTCTCCCCCAAATTCCGTCTGAAATGAGTCTTTGCCAGCACAGCCTCTTGGAGCAGGATGCCTTGCAGGGTGACATTTCTCTGCGGACCACCAAAATTTTCTCGCAGACCACCAGTGGTTCCCAGCCCATTGGTTGGCGACCAGTGGTATAATAGTCCATAGAAAAAAGAATAAAAACTTGATATTATTCAACAAACTTATATCTATTGTATCCATGGTTATAAACTTCTCTATACATTTATCACTCTATGTAGTTTGGTTTGCAATTATGTACAATCTCATACCAATATTGCTTACAATACGTATCCTTATATATAGCTTTATATCTGTATTTGTTTCTAACTTGTTGATCCTCTTTCGTCATTCATTTTCTAACCTTTGCATCTATTTTCTAGCCAATTGTACCATAGGTCCCATATTTTTTTAATTAATTTTTTTATTTTATATTTCCAACAAATCCGTCTTTCATTATAACAGTGTACATGTATCTTGGGTACATGTATCTATACATTATAACAGTGTACATGTATCTGGGTACATGTATCTTGTGCTAACAATTATAATTAATATACTTTTCTTACCAATATAACAATGATCACATTTTCTTTATAAGCCATTATCTCTTACTCATATTGTCTTTATAACAATCTGAACTTATTTCTCTATATATTCATCTACTCAATTTTAACTTGTTTTATTTTCCAACCATTCATAAAATATATCCCACACCATATAATATTCAGTTTCTTCTTTTTCTTTAATTGCCAGTGTTAATCTATTCATCTTGGAACCTTTTAATATGTTCTCAATCACCTTTCCCTCTGCTGGAATTTGTTTGCTATTCCAGTTGTGAGCAAATACAATTCTAGCTGCAGTTAATACATGTATAATTAAATATATATCTTTCTGTGCCATAACATTCAGGTACCATCCCTAGTAGGAATATCTCAGGTTTCAAATCTATATGTTGCTTTATCAGTTTTTTTCCAACCATGTGTGTATTTTTATCCAATATCTTTTAACTTCTATGCATGTCCACCACATATGGTAATATGATCCAGGTGTCTGCTGGCACTTCCAGCATTTGGCTGATTTTGTGTTTAAACATCTTTGCTAATTTATATAGGTCCCATATTAGGTAATACTCTGTTTCTCCTTTGTCTTTGTCACTAAATGAATTGTTGTAAGTCGATGACTTGCTGTATAAGCAGAAGAGTAGCCTTTAGTCCAGCAGGTCATTTCTGGCTTAATTTAAATCAGGCTCCTGCTGTCTACAGCTACCTACAATGCCCTGAAGCTTGGGAAGGAGAAAGACAAGGCTGTCTTTCTAACCCTCCACCCTGGCTTCTTCTCATCCTGCGTTCTCATATTTCCGAGAGCTTTATGACGGCGGACAATGAAAACTCGTCCTGTACCCAACTCTTATCAATTACCATGCGACGGGCATAAGAGGAAAAAAAGGGGAATTCTTTCGTTAGACGGGCACCATAGGAACTCAGCTGCTCGCCCAGGGCCACAGCGGTAGCCCGGAGCAAAACAGGGAAAGGGTGAAATATCAGAGAGAGCAAGCTTATTATTAAACAAAACGATAAACCTCTGCTTTTGCACCTTGGCACCGAGCGAAATCTACCAGCTGGGTTCCCATAGGCCTGCTACCTTGTCCGCCAGGATAGCCACAGGCGGTTTCTGTCGCCCCTTGCAAAGATGTTCTCTATCGGGAACGGAAAAACAAATCGTTGGAGCTAAGCAGGGCGTTCCATTTTATGGAGAAATAAATTTTTTCGGGCCCCAATCCTTGCAAGCCGAGTCAACGGGGAAGCCAGATTTTCACTGAACAACCATGTGATCAACTTAACGGCAGTGGTTCACTTCGCAACGCTAGCAAAAGGAAGGACGCAAAATGAAGCCTAACTCACTTAGCAACCCTCTCATTGAGCGAGAAAACTGTTGGCCTCAATTGTTGTCATAAGTTGAGGACTACCTGGATATAACCTTTGGGCTTCGTCTACTGCATTAAATGACCAAGAAAAGCACGTTTAGCCAACCCAGTTGTCGTTTGTACACAGCCAGCCGACATTAAACGAACACCAATCCGAAAACCTGCCTAGGATTGAAAAATAAAATTTTTCGCCCCCAATTCTTACTTTTTCTTTCCAACAATCTCAGGCTCCTTTCATGCAGTCCTGCTTAATGGAGGATTCTCACCCAGGTTTTTCTCCCCCCAAAAGGCTTCTGATTTGATGCCTCAAAAACAATGAATCGTCTTTCGAACCCTGATCGCACCCAGATGCTCCTGACACTAGCCTGTAAATTCTGAGACTTCTGTCCACACATTTGGATCAGGTTGCAGAAAACTTGGACTAGGACCTCTCAAAAACAAGGACTAATTGATTAAGGAGCACTGCAATTAATTTTCATGAAGACAGAGAAAAGAGGCAGGGGAAACAGACCAAAAGTCTTGGCTGGTATGTCCCCCCCAATACTTTATTTTCATTTAATTAATTATTTTTATTTATTTAAGAGGATTTACAGCCTGTTCCCAACCTGGAAGACTCAGGGCACTGCAGAATAACAGAAAATAAGAATTATGCATTCATAGTTTTGAAAGGGAAGCAATTGCAGGATTTATGTGCTTAGTGTCTCTCAAAGTGACAAAGTAAACACATTGTGTGTCAAAAAGCTTAAGGGACAAACTGCACAGGAATTGAGAGACAGTATTTCTGTCCTTAAAATCTCTGCAATGTTTTAAAAAGGAAAAAAAATATCACAGGCCACCATCCCTGTAGCTCACCAAGCAGCGAAGGAAAGACAAAATAAATTGCCCCCCCCCATCTAAAACAACCTAAAATCTGATTAATGCCCTGTCTCTCAAACATGGCAACTTTTTAAGATGTGTGGGCGTGCTGGCTGGGGAATTCTGGGATCTCTTAAAATTTGCCACATTTGAGAAGTACTGAATTAGCATGTTTGAGATTTAGCAAAAACCCTATTGATTGATTGATCAGTCTTCCTTCTCAATCCCTACATATTTATGAATTTAATAGGCCGAGTTACTGAAGACGCTTATCTGAATTGCACACACACAATCTTATGGATTCTCTCCAGCGGGGTGTCTTGACACTAGCAGCGTAACGTACTTTGGTTATGCAAGGAGTGGCATTTTCACCAAATACACCCAACCAACTGAACTTCCTACTACTGGATGTTTTTATGAAGAGACTGGACAGCCACCTGTCTGACATTGCATAGAATCTCCTGCTTGGATTGGATTAGAATGGATTCACTTAACAGTTGTGTGATTTAATTTAACAATCAAGGCCAAAAAAAAAAAAGCTGTAAAGTCAGGCATAGCTCATTTAACAACCGTTTTGCTTAGCAACAGAAATTCTGGCCACAACTGTGGTTATAAATCGAGGACTACAGTCAAAGTTGCAATGGGGGCAGGGGGACAAGGGGTGATGGCAATATTTACTCCCTGTCCTTTTTATTAATACTAATCTCTTAATAAGTGAAATAATATTCACAGGCAAGAAAATTTAAAAAAAATGTTTTCTATATTCTTGGCAGGGAGATAGCTGTGTACACAGAAAAGGAGGCCAACAGGAGATGCTGGAAGAAGACAACAGGTCGTAAAGTAAATCCCCATCAAAGCAAAGACAGGCTTTGACCAAAAATGGTAGCACAACTCAAGTCTGCATACGCACTTTCGAAATGTTACTTGAAAATAACAAAACAGATAGACGACATTCATCTTCTATTCCTATTCTGGCCAACTTAAATATCCGACCCACGTCATCTCCCAAGGTCAAGCAGAGTTCAGCCTGTGTATTTGTTATAAGCTAAAAAATCACTTATATCGATGCTGATAAATAGAAAGCGAGCTGAAGGCAATATAATGGAGGTAGGTAGAGAATCTGGGTAGCTCAGGCTTGAATTGTGTGGTTGCCGGTACTCTCTGAGGCTGACTGTTTGCTTGCAGGTGTTTTATCACACAACTAGGTAGCAGCAGCATGGAATATACAGCAAGTGAGCAGGAGCAGATGTCTGAAGAAAATGCCCAAGGATCCTTTTAAAAATAAAAATAAAATCTTTGTGACTGAGCAAATTAAATTTCCTCTCGCCAAGGTGGATGGCAACCTGTGAGCATATTCTGAAACAGTAATAAAGGAGAATATTTGTAGCTCAGGGTTGATATGAGGGGTCCTTGGTGCTGTCTGAGCTTGGTTGTTTTCTTGCAGACGTTTCATTACCCATCTAGGCAACATCATCAGTGTTAGTCCCACTAGAAAACAACCAAGCTCAGACAGCACCCTCTTATTCTGAAATAAATGCAAATGGCTGGGCAGCAAAACATCCTTTCCCATCCAATAGTTTGGCCCTACTCTTATTATTTTGGATATCCAGTTTGTATCTGGGCAACTCAAAGTTTCTGGGGGCGCAAACTATGTATTTTAATTTCAGCTGGCCAGGCAGATGGCCAGAAAAGAGCCTTTAAAACACTCTTTCTCTCTCCTCACAAAATGTCAAAAAATGACAAATCCTAAAAAATGCCCAATATTGGCATCTCTCCGCCAGCCTCAAAGAAAGCCTTGTAATGCCCCAAAATGAATGGATCATAAACATCTTCAGGGCAGTGACCCGAACCCGTTGCTCTGCCAACGTTGCCAACTTGTGGCAAAATTTAGGGTCAAGTCAAATGTCTATCCCGAGTCCTCGTGTGACTCCCTTCGCTCTGTAGCAGCCAACATAGAGGAAAGGGTCAAACTTCCCTTGATTTTAACCCATTTTTGTTGTCTCCCCTCCCTGAGTCCAAGTTGTACCCCTAAAACAACGCAGGAAACTTCAGGCAAAGTCTGCAAAAAAAAAAGACACCCCAGGATCTGCCAAAAGGGCCCCTTTCGTACCACGGAAACCCCAAATTAGCCAAATATTTTGGGCACCACCTTGATTCTTGATTCCCGCCTTGAAAATGCTTCCTTTGCAAAGCTGCCCCGTCCCTGCAAGACCAAGTTACCTGGTACAGGTAGTGTTCGACTTACATTCATTTAGCGACCATTCCAAAGTTACAACAGTCCTGGAAAAAAAGTGACTTAGGAACGTTTTTCCACACTTATGACCGTTGCAGTAGTCCCGATCAAAATTTGGGCGCTATGGCAACTGGCTTGTATTTATGACAGTTGCAGTGTCCCGGGGTCATTGCGAGTCCCCTTTTGCAGCCTTGCGACAGGCAAAATCAATGGGGAAGCCCGATTCACTTAACAACCCATGTTAGTCCTCGACTTACAACCATAGTGACCATTCTAAGATACAGCGGCCCTGTAAAAAGTGACTTGTGACCATTTTTCCACACTTGTGACCACTGCAGCGTCCCCACGGTCCCGTGATCAAAACTCAGACGCATGGCAATTGGCTCCTATTTATGACAGTTTCAGTGTCCCAGGGTCCCCTTTTGCCACCTTCTGGCTAGCAAAGTCAATGGGGGAAAGCCAGGATTACTTAACGTCCAGGTTCCTAACTTAACCACCGCAGCGAGCCACTGAACCACTGTGGCAAGAAAAGTCATAAAATGGGGCAAGACTCACTTCACAACTGCCTTGCTTACCCCATTTGGCCTCAACTGTGGCCCCAAGTCGAAAACTACCTGTACTTGGGTGGCCTTAAACCTGACCGTCCACCCTTAGCTGCTCCCCTCAAGAAACGCTCCTGCTGCCACCTTGCGCCCACCCCACGGCCACACTGGGGATTGGATGGAAATCCAGGGCGGCTTTCCAAATTAAAATGCACCTCCTCCTCCTCCCCCACTTCTGCCTCCTGTGGCAGCTGTGTAAATCCTCACAAACCCCCAGAGCGCCTGGGTTGTGTGTGTGTGCGAGGCCTTCCGCCGGGCAAGCCACAATTGGCGAGGAGAAATTTGTAAGGAGGATTATTTTTCCCTCCTTTCCCCTCCCTCTGCTAGGGAGGCTGAAAGAGCCACCCGTGCTTCGTGGCTTCTCCCCCCGCCCTTCCACAGCTTCTGTCTCCCACCCGTCTAGGGCCCGAGCGAGAAACCCCACAGGCCGGTTCTGTTCCCGGCGTCTCAGCTTGCAAGATTGGAGAGTTGTGTTCCTGCTTCCTAAGTCTCTTTCTGCTGACCCGTGGCTCGCCGGCTCGACCTCTCCACTACCTCCGCCTCATCAATCACAGGCTTCACCCCTGCTCTGTGGGGAAACAAGGGGGGGGGAGAGGCGACCCTGTTGCCTCATTCTTGCAGGCTGAGAGTCTGCCGTCTGTCTGAGCAGCCGCGCGGCTTTGCAAGCGAGCCAAGGCAGGCAGTGTGCAATTCCTCCCTTGCTCCCTACCTTCACCTCTCCACTACCCTCCACCCTTTTTTTTTTTTTTTACACAATGCAAGTTGCTGCAAAAAGGTTATTGCAGGTGTGTGTGTGTGTGTGGAAATAGCCTCCATAAAACCCCACCTGGCATCTCCTTCCTTCCGCTCCCAACAACATTTTGCCTCCTGAGTTCAAACTCGGCAGTTGGAATTTCACACGTGTGTTTGTGTTCCTCCTGATCTTCGGGTCCGGATCCAAACGGATTCCCACCCTGGTTTTGCTTCCGCTTCCCCCCCCCCTCAACTCCCTCCCGGTATCTTGATGGGCCCCTAGCAAAGTTTTCTCCTATCCGATCAACTTTTGCATTTCATAGACAAGTGGTGCCGCTAGGCAACAAGTTGATGGTTCTG